GCTCGCCAATGAGGACACATTTATGAATGAAGACATTGATTTTAGCAAATAAAATACTTAAAATACTACACATTGTCCCTTTAAGATGTAAACCGGTTCATTTGATACACAATCAGTCCATTTGATTACACCTAATCTGCACTAATGGAGTTTTTAAAAGCCTGACATTTATATATAGAGAGAGAGAAATATAATGTCAAGAGTTTCTACATTCCTTGAAGTAATTATAATTTCCTCACATTGAAGATTTTGAGAGGCTGTTGCCAGAACAAGCAGTTGTGCTTGTACTTGTTGTGAGGAAGGGAGAAGTGTGAAAGTGCTGAGAGCGACAGGAAGGCTGATGAAGAGGAAAGGTTGGAGGGAGTGTCAGACAGTCACCCGGAGGAGCCCAGCATGCTTGACATCAACAGGAGACAGATGTGAAATCTGCCTGACAATGTGTCTGGCAGCTGAGATACTGAAATGAAGAGAGGTGTAATATGATGTCATCCAGACCAGTCAAGAGAAACTACTTCAGCTCAGACCAGGAATTGGGTTTAAACTTTAAAGACAACTTTGGGACTGAATGGGGTTGACAACTACAGTAAGACTGTCTGGTTAAAGATAGCCTACCAGTTGTTGGGGTGTGCTGATGCCCGGTTCATGTCATCCCTCCTCTCTACCTTCATTTCCTGTCACCTCCTAAACTGCCCACAATTAAAACAAAGGAAATATTTTAATTGTGAACAGACAGCTCCTGTATATTCCTCCACACTGATGCAGATTTGAAGGGGCTATAAGTAGAATTTACCTTTAATGCACATTATGACCATACTACACTACTGCCATACAAAGCCTGCAGTAACTATGCTAACAGGGAAACTGAGAAAAATGTTGCTTGACTATCCAGCCAAATGTGTTTTAGGTAGAACAGCGGCTATGTGTTTATTAAATATGTAGTTTCTTTGGCTTAAAAATCATGACCAATTATTTGATCTATGACCCCAAAATACCACTGCACTGTCTTTGTATTACCATAAACAGATGCAATAACTATGGTCTTAGTGTCTTGTTCCTGAGAAAATCTAAATCTAATTTGATGTCTTATTACATTAAGTCTGTATTTTATATTGTTGGATCTGTAAAAAGTTGAAATAGATGAGTATTTAAGAATTTAAGTATTATTTTGTGTAGTCTAATTAACACAGGAATCCCTTGTCCTGTCTGTCTAGTTAGCAGTAGCACAGTAATTGTCTAGAATACAGGATTTACAGACACTGAAGCTGCAGTAACTGCGGCCCAAGCTCTGAGAAGCTGAGGGAGAGCGCAGTAAGCAAGGTAAGTAAGGTTTGTCTTGGTTTTTGGTTGGATTTTGTACATTTTTATATTGTTTTAGGTTTTAAGATAGAGCAAGACTGAACTGAAAATGTGTCACAAGAACAGATGTTTAAAGTTCATTTTCAGACATAACTCAGTTTCGATTGAAATTGTAGTTACTGTGTTGTTTGCCTTTGTAGGGCAGTACAGTACAATTAGGGTGATGTTTGATAAGGCAGTGGGCAATCTTAGGCCGGTGGTCATACACAACGAAACCAGCACTTAAGTCAGGGTCCACATTGAGCCATGAGGGCTGTGCAATATGTCCCCATTGTCAGAAGCAGTGCATGTGTCTATTCTATTCTATTCTATTCTATTCTATAAAATTAAAGGTCCAGTGGGAAACATTTGGGGGGATTTATTGGCAGAAATGGAAAATAATATTCATAGGTATGTTTCCATTTGTGTGTTTTTGTTACCTTAGAATGAGTCTTTTATATGTACAGACACCTCATGTTGCCTTCTGGACCTTTAACTGTGCTATAGCAACAATATTTGCTGCCTAAAATTTTAAACCTTCCCTGCTCAGTACTGTACTGTACAATAAACAATAATCGTCCTCTCAGGACAGGGACATGCTGTCTTTTTATGAGTCTATTATTCTTTGATGTCTTATATCTTCAGTTTAATAAAAGTCTAAGAAATTTCTTAAAATCCAAATGTGGTAAAGAAGAAGTGCATTGCCAAAATGGAGAATTATATAGAGAAAAGGCTACTCTTGATAAAAAAGTAGCAACCTTGAATTCTTGTCAAACACACATAGTTTTACAGGCAGAGGTAGAGAGTAGAGATATGATATCAATGTATTGTTTGTTAGAATATTACATTTTTGAGTCTCTTATTTAATTTAACTTATATAGGCAATGTTATGTGTTGCACTTCAAGACTACACATTATACATGATGATCAACAGCAACCTGCTTCATTTATGGTTCAATGAAAGTTCTGTTGTTGTTACAACGACCACTGTCAGATATGGATTTGCATGAGTTTTATATTTACATTATTACTTACAGTAGATTAAAGAAGACATTTGAAGTAAACTATAAAAGGGAAAACCTTTGGAGAGGAGCCAAAACTATTGTTGCAGAGCCAGAGTGGTCCACAAGCTGTCGCTGTCCTAAACGTTACATTACAAGCAATTATGGACACAATTAAGAATAGAGCAATTTACTATAAAGCTTACAGTGGTCTTGAATTCTGCCAGTAATATCATGTTCAATTAATTAAGATACACATATATATGTACATACAGTATATTCATCATATATGATTCAACATGACTTTTCATGGGAAACTATGTCATCTTTAAATAATCCTGTTTCAGGTGAATCAGGCTAGCTATAATTTAAATAATTTCATTAAAAATGAATGCGACCAATGTTTTTACCCTCACTTTAGAGCTGAATATGACTTGATGCCCTATAAGATAAATAAAAGGCTCATATTTCCGGGGGACTTTTTTGAGCCATGTTACGTCACACAAACTAATAATCCATTTAGATATGTGGAAAGGAGTCACAGTGAAACAAAGAGCTCTTCAATGCTCTCAGCTCCTCTGCTCTCCAGTGAGTAAAGATAACTATTATTATGGCTGAGTCAGACAAGTGGGAAAGAAACACGTAAAAGACAGTGGGACAGTTTGGATTATAGATGGGAAGATAGCTGGGGAGAGATGTGTCTGTGAAAGGCAGATTTATAAGGGGATTTAGATTAGAATAATGTATAATTTAAATCGACAAAACGGCATGAAGGAGGAAAAAAGATTTCAGGCTAATGAGTCAATGAGAAAGGAAAATGAATGTTATGATAATTCGACTGCAGCAAATCCAATTTATAGTTGGAGCAAATTACTTAGTGTAAATAAAACCAAATTGGCAGCCTGATTATTCATGAAACTATAATGATTCTATTCTTAGTTTACATTACAAATGGCTTATGTAATGGTTTTACCCCACAACTGCTATATTTGTCCATCTGTTTCCTTTTTTAGCACATGTGTTATTTGTTTTTGTTTTTTCTGCGGCACGTGTACAGTATGAGTACATAACCCTGACTACAGCCTGTCTGCCAACACCTAGAACCGATCACAGCTGCCAGGGCAGGGATTGGCCAAATTGTAGCTGTGCATCCTTGTTTTTTCCTAAACGGGCTTGTTGCATAGTTTGACCTTCTTTGTCCTTAACCAACACTTTGACTCTAAATTCAGGCTCACTTTGCACCCTCCTTTTCATTCCAGCGAGGATCATATTTCTATTGCATGTGTGTGGATACAATCAGATCACCAGTGTAGATTACATTCATTTATCATGCCTGAGAGGGGACAGACTCTCACACACGTGCCACTGCTGAAACTCTGCCAACATCCAGGTAGAGGTTGGGATTGACTGACAATACCTATTGATCCCCAGTTACCTCCAGCTCCAGATACCAGTGTACCTTACATATAAAGAAGGCTGTCTGTTGCAGAGTCAAGGACAGTGGAAGGTGAGAGGTGGGTGTTCAGATGGGCTTCATAGCCTCAAGGTTCTGCTGATGCAGGTTATTCACTGTTAGGTGAAGCATATTATTTGACATGGATGAATGGAAGAAAGAGGCAGGACAAGGACTCACATGGAAGAGCACATGTGCTTTCCAGCCTTTGTTGTTAGGAAGGCATGACAGTGAAATGAGCAGTATCACACATTTTTAAATCCCATACAGGGACACAAAGTTGGTCCCCACAAGGTTGATATTATGTTTTTTTCTAAAATAGCCACGGCCAAAGTCTGTGTGTGTATGTGTTTATTAATTGCAGAGACATGTGTTCTGTATATGGTTACTGCGTTAAAGCAGAAGGACCACCATAGACCACCTCTGAGATCTTAGATAGATTTGGTTAATCCTGGTATCATGTTGTTAAGATAAAAATAACATGACAATGTTCATGGCAAATGAATTTCATTATTAGGTGTAATTGCTGTAGTAAAACACTACAAGGTTTGTCATAAAACAATTTGTGCAAAGGCAACAGAGAAGAGAAAATAGTCAAATTTTCTAAGTGTAAACAGTGTAGAGAGCTTGCTGAACTTCCATAATTGTCCACTAGAGAGCTTCAAATATCCATGTTTCAGTTTGCCACACCTCAGGCCAGCAATCAAAAGCTCTTGTTTTTTTTGTGAGCATATGACAAAACACAACTTATAGATCAAGAAAAAGAATTGTACTGAATGTATATGTGTGCATGATGTTATTGGCCACAATCACAATCAGAAAATTTTTCTTTTATGGCGTTTATTTTTTACGAAGAATGCAGAAAATTAAATGTTGATTTCATGAGCAGTTTGCAACCATGAAAAGAATTTAAAGTAACATCTTCTTCACAGAAAACACTGAACTTACATACAATTTAGTTTTTAGTTGGAACATTATGAATGTAATTTTATTACTGAAATGATTATTGAGCCCTATATGTTTAAATTAACCAGTGTGACAATAACAAGACATGTTATGTCTCTCCCTACGAACAACTCAAATGATGAATGGGGTCACATTTGCATAACAATCACTTTATTTCCTTTGGACCTGTTTAGAGAAGGTCTCACACAACAGAACAACTGTGGTGTTTGACAAATATTTTACCATGGAACAGCTGGTCTCCATGACTCCCTGCTGATAATATTTTGATGTTGGCACAGGTGTACAGTGCAAGCTAAAGTATACTGTTAGTTTAGTAAAGTGTAGACAAAATAATGTGAATGCTCACTCTTGCACTGAACTGCAATTGGGATTTAGAAACTTAAAGTTAATGAGTTCCAGTTGCAAACACTGAAAAAAGGCAACATTTTCAATTTAAAGCAGTGTTTGTAATTGTGTTGTTGAATTTACAATAATGTATCTACTATTTAATGTCTAACTGTAAAGTTTACCACAACATTGTTACATTATTTCGTCATGTACTTTATTCAACCTACACCACACCTTCATCTTTGCTTCTCTTCTTTAGCTGGCAGAAGAGAACAACCTTAGAGACATTTGCCTTCCCTGTTCTAGTGATGAAGCAGTAAAGGAGAGGGTCTGCAAGGCAGTTGAGGGTTGAGATAGCTATGCTGATCTTGTACGGATAAAGGAACCATGCAACCTTCCTGCAGTCATCCACTAGTACGCGGATAAGCATCATGACGTGGACAGGTCCGAAGCAGAACAAAATGCAGATTAGAACTACTGTCAGCAGCTTTGAAATCCGTTTACGTTCCTGTTCCTCTGTGGCCTGGTTGGATTTCACTGCCTCACAGATACCCCAGGTGGTAAACAACACCAGGAGAACTGGAACAATAAAGCCCAGGAAGAAGCGTGCCACATTAGCCCGAGCCAAGTTCTCTGACAGTGGGAGGAAGATATCAAAGCACACAGAAAACTTGTTGTTTTCATGGTATGAGTCCTCCCAGGTGATGGTGGTGGCATTGAAACAGACCACCAACACCCAAATGGCAATGCTGACCACTACTGCAGTGCCAACTTTCCTCAAGAAGGTGTACTTCAATGGGTGAACCACTGCCAGGTAACGGTCAACAGCAATGCAGCAGAGGAGAGCATCGCTGGTGTAAAAGTTAGTGAAGAGAAAGTAGACAGATAGCACACAAACATAGCCTCCATGGGTCCAAACTCCCCTCCACAGGAAGTCCAGCCACAGAGAAAGGCCGACAGTGAAGGTCAGGTCACTTAGGGCCAGGCTGAATAGATAAACACCAAGTTCGTTCTTCTGTCTAATGTGCTGCCAGGACACATAAAGGGAGAAGGCGTTGGACGGGATGGAAGTGATGATTATAGCCAGGTAGAAAAACAGAAACAGCTTCCTCCTGGATGCGCTCTCAGCCAAGTCACATTCTAAATGATTGGTTGCCAGGGTTAGGTTTTCCATGGCAGATGTGACGTTTATATGCTCACACCTTGAAGAGAAACAAGGAAGGAAATGAGGAAGGGACACATCAATGCATATAAATACTTAAAGTAAAGGGGAGCTTCACAGATTCTACTCATTAAGTTCAGTTTAGCCTGTAGAAACTGTTTAATAATGTTTTCTGTGGCTTTTTTGGGACCTGTCTGGTGTTTGGAAATTGAACCCTGATATTATAAAGTTTATTAACTTTTAACAGAAAGCCTGTGCTACAAACTGTTAAAATAATGAGCACTTAACAGTCAGAAAGAATCTACTGAAAGAGGCTATTGAGTTGTGTTGTGGGAAATGTAGGGGGGTCATTTCAAAACACATCCTGCTGGCAAATGCACATGACAGCAATGTAAGTAAAAGTCTTCAACTTCACTTCAAAGTGTCAACCATAAACACACAATAGTATTTAATAAGGAAAATCATACACTCAATTAGACTCATGTGAAGGTATACTTACATTTTATTCAGTTTTAATTCCACTCCAAATTCTGTCCATAAAATTCATCATAATTGAATAGAAAACATTGAAACCGATGCAGAGACGATTCATTCAGTTGCCTTCCACTGCTTAAATCAGCCAGCTTAAAGAAACAGGAAGCGTCAGCAGCTGCCTCCTTGTCGTCCCTGACTACCGTATGTCATTTACTGGGTGACAGGCCATGACAGAACAAACTACCGGTGTTAGAGGACCACACGGCAGATTTAATTTAGGTACTAAGTCTATATGAGACTGCTTGTCTTTATGTTTGGTGTGTCAATATAGTCACAAACTCTGGTAAATGTGATACTGATTATTTTCTGATAAAGGAATATATATACGCTTGACTAATTATTTCCATAGCGTAGTTATGTTGTTATGCCTACGTGCCCCAAAAGGATATAGCATACACATAATCTTTAAGTCTGTCTTAAAAATAATACTTAACATGTCCGGTATGTACACTGAAAGCATTTTTGGTGGCTGTAATTGTTTCTCTTGTATATAATAGTCAGAAAGTAAAATGTATATTTGGGGACAAAATCCACAAACCTTGTTAATATATGTTAATATGAGGTTTCAATAAATTTAGATTTAAGTGACGGCCTGTTTAGTATAAAATTTCCTCTTAGTGTTTCTATCTCTCTGCTGTGACCCAGAAAACAAACACTGCTCATGGAAGCCCAAAGAGGGACATTTTGTGCTACAAAGACTAGTTACTATTTCAGTGTACATATGGGTAGTATGTAGTACTACAACAGGATACCCTCCAATATGAACCTATGCTTTAATGAAAGTAGAAAGAAAAAAAACGATATATTTGTTGATGTATTTGATATACTGTATGTACATATTGATATTTTGAAGTACATTATTATTTATCACTTCTTTATCAGTGGCTTTTCCTATGGACTTTATTGACTATGGTGATTAACCACACCTGCCACAAAAGAGCTTGTCAGCCTTTTGATGTGCATAATTTATAAATATGGGTGTGGTTTTTAAGGCTTTCAAACATTAGCCGATCCTTTCATGCAATCATAAACCAGAAAAGACAAACCAGAGGAGGTTATTTTAGATTTCTTCTATTCAATTCAAATAATAAATAAAAAAATCAATTAAGTAATAAATGTAAATGTGATCTTGTTTACACCATAGTCAACCACTGCACATAAAAGAGATGATTTGTCCCATTATTGTTATTTTTATTTTATTATTTTCTTACAGGCTACTTCAGTCGGTTTTCAAAGCACTGCTTCAACTCAGAGTTCATCAAATATAGAAGTATGAAAAGTGAAGGGACATGCCCCATCCCCATGGAAATTATGCCCTTACAACAACAAAACATTGCTTACAACTTACAGTCAACATTACACAATCCCAAATCATAATTTGTCTCACAATTTCATAGTTTCCATTTCATTCACAATTACAGGTTCAAATTAAATGCTTAATATAATGCTGTTGTTAGGAAACTGACTCAATTCCAGTAGACCTGTCTGACCATCTTTTTCTCAAATGAACTCCCCTACCTTTCTCTACAGCTTTCCTAATCTCGTTCTTAGCGTTCTCATTGATTAAACAGTATATTATAGGATCCATTGTACTGTTTATGGTGGTCGTGGCAACTGTGACCAGGTATGGATCTTTGAGCTTTGCGGCCCAGACGCAGGCCCCGGGCTCCAGTATGGCCCTAAGCAGCATGACAGTCTGGTAGGGTGCAAAGGCCACTATGTAGGTTAGAAGAAGGAAAAACAACATCAGTCCCACTTTCCTGCGCTCCTGTGCCAGGATGGAGGTGCTCTGTTGAAGTGATTGCATGATCTGCTGAAAGCAAAAGGTCATGATGATCATAGGGACAAAGAAACCCAGGGTGACTCGTGTAAGGGTGAGGTTGACATCTTCTTGTGTCATAGGTATTCGCTCCACACACAGGTGTCTTGAGGAGAAAGCTTGCAGCGCCCCTGTGTGGTCAAGCAAGATAATGTGGATGGCAATCTCCAAAATCCAAACAGCAATACTCACAACTGCTGCTGTCCGCACCTCTCGGACCCAGTGAAAGTGGAGAGGATAGACCACTGCTAGGTAGCGGTCAATGGAGATGCAGCAAAGGAGGCCTGAGCCGATGTAAAAGCTGTTGTACATGATTACAGCCACCAAACTGCAGAGACCACCCGCAGGCCTCTGCAGGGCCAGCTCAATCCAAACTGGCAGAGAGATTGTGTAGAGCAGATCAGAGATGGACAGGTTGACGAGGTAGACTGCCGTGCTGTTCCCATTCCTCATCAGCATCCAGGCTGCATACAGAGACAGACAGTTAGCCGGAAATCCCACAATAAAAAAAAGGGAATACACAGTTGGATACATGTTCTTTTCCACCGAGGACTCCACGGTGCATGAGTTAGATGTACTTGAGTTTGTCTGGATGAGGACAGCTGCATCCATTCTTACGTGATGATGATCAAACCTCGAATGTGAATGGAAATAGGAGGCTTGGTGTTGTGTTGAATGAGATAAGCTCTGCAATGCAAATAGTTCCGGGCAGAACATGTTTGGTTATGCTAAAAATGAAAATAGCGTCCAGTGCTTTCAATGTGGATGTTGTTTTATTTCCCCAGCGTTGAAATTTGACACAGGATGAACCCAAAGATTAAATTTTAGCCTATTTTAAAGTTTGGAAACTTGAACGGCCGGTGAGATGTTCCTGTGACCAGCAGGAACATCCAGACCATGCAACAGATTGTGTATAATGGGAATAAATGGGCTCAGGAGAATGTTAAGAAATGCCAGATGCACTATATAATCAACTATAGGATCAAATCATCAGTGGTGGTATCTAAGCTAATTTACTCATTACTGTGGATGTACTGCACCAGTACAAGATATTGTACTTTTTTCGCCACTACATTTATATATTCACCAACCTTTTCCAAACTCTCCATGGTTTAACTGTGTTTTGTATGGTTATTTATATTTTATCTTTCGTTGTTGGTTTGTTTTGATCTCATTTATTTGGTCCAGCACTTTGTAACCGTGTTTGGATGAGTACTATACAAATAAAGTTTATTATTGTTGTGATTTATTATTCAGATTTTGAAGTTGTCAGCTGTTCGACCAAAGAGACATTTCCCTTCTGAACTTCTCAGACTTCATTTAAATAACTGCTTGGCCTAAAGGAGGGAAATTATCCAATGTTTCAAAAAGAGATAAAACTTTAGAAAACAATTAAAAACAAAATCGTAATGACTTTTTGAAGGGGTTCTGGTAGACTATAACAGTAAAATGATTGTAGTATTTTCAATTGAATGATATTATGCATAATAGCATATCCTCATAATATTTTAAATATTGATAATACTTATAATATGCCCTTATAATATTTACTTATGTAGGATTTTAAATGCAGATTTTTACTTAAAATGAGTATGAGGAGTATTTTTACATTGTGGTATTGCTACCTTTAACCTAAATAAAGGATAATCCCTCCACAAAGCAAACAGGTTTGTCTACACCCATGTAGGCTTTTCTGGACTTGTCAGGAAAAGCATGCATTTGCATATTGCATCATCTCCTGCTATCAGTGCCAATGTGGTGCAGTGGAGGATCCTGTTACTTCAGTTGTATTTCATGAAGGTGAAATTTGGCAAAGCATTGTGCTCCTGAGACAAGCCAGACAACTTGCTATGCAGCATCAAGTGGAATAGTCATCTAGTTGCTGTTGAGATGCTGTTGACACTGAGAATCCTGTTCACTGAGTGGACTCCATCCAAGTCTATTCTAATACTCAGGAACCACAGCTCACCAAATAAAGGCATGGTGGACATGCTGGTGCTCACATCAACTGTTAAGTATAATTAAACATCTGGCATTTTTAATCCGTAGGAAAGCCCTAAAATAGTGCCTGATTTTTAGAAGCAAGGTGTGTTATGCTAGTAGCTGCTATAGCCTCGGTAGTCTAGCCCTGTGCCGAGGTGGATGTTTGGTAAGTTCACTTTGTCAAGTGAGTTTCTGGAGCTGTACAAGGCTCCGTAAAACTTTTCCCCACATATGCAGTAGTACTCCCCAAGACCTGTAAACAGACTTTGGTGTGTAAAATCGGCACACTTCTCCTTTAAAACAGAAATCTGTTGTTCCCCTCCTCAATGACTATATAAAAACAATGAATTCACTAAATGAATACATACTGTTATACTGGGGACTAAGAAAAAGCCACAAGCTCTAATTTAATATTTATGTTTTATTATTTGAAGGAAACAGAAATTACAGATATTTCTGATGGAATCAATTTCTTAAACATACTTACAAAAATGAACTTTATTCATCATGGAAAGCTTTGTCAAAACATTGTTAGACCTGTCTTTTGTCTATGTCTTTTTTTTTTTTTTACTCACATAGCTGTAAATCTATTTGTATACCAGCGTAATAGTCTTGGTCTTTTACATTTATGCCACTCCCGGTGTTACATTACATAGATTATGCAAAATGTTTCTGAGTTAATTCACAGAGGTTGTTTCAGCGACAGTGGCATTGTGTTTAGACTGTAAAGAGACACGGGCATGACTGTGTGAGTCACTACTCTTCATGCTACTGTGACTTTGAATAGTAAATAAAATGTACAAAGCAACAAACTGTACAAGCATGCAAATGGATACATAAAGTGTAGATAGTGGAGCTGATTATACACAAAAGTAAGGGATTATGGACATATGTAAAATATGGCAGGGTTTGTTTTGGGAATTTAGCATTTAAATATCACAAGACAGCCAGACTAACACCATGTAAATATTACAAGGCAGCCCAAGTAATACCATGTAAATATCCGAAGATAGTTAGAGCAACACCATGTAAATATCACAAGACAGTCGGAGAAACACTGTGTAAATATTACAAGACAGTTACAGTAACACCATGTAAAAGTACAGAGAAACATATTTACAGGCATGCACACAGACAGGCATGGAACACCATTAAAATGTCATATTAAGATGATAAACCCTTGCGGTATCAGACAGAGACTGTTTCCATTTCTTGTGTACATTACTTCCATTATCTGCCCATTACTTCTGTAATATATAACACGGTATGGTAGTGCTGTTAAAATATGGAGCAGTGTTATTATTGTGTTAAGTCTGAAAGCATTTCTGATCACACAGCAGTTTCATCAGGTCATTTGTGTCTCATATCCTAGAAATCACTTGCCTAACCAGTACCACACCCATACAGACACTTTCAATATATAATCTTACACAGAGCATATAGTACTCCTTATAAGCTTAATTTTGGAGTTTCTGCTATGTGTCAGAGATGTAAAATGTCTACGGGGACTCTTCTTCACTTTCTTTCTAAGCTGTCCAGTTCTAGAGGCTTTTTGGAAATTTTGTCACAACAGTTTCTGAAATCTCAAAATCTCATGCTGACTTTGATCCTAAAGTTTGGATCTGGGTAATGCCAGCTCACTTAGTGTGGTTTTTTATCTGGCTTGCAAGCACTGCAGCAACAAAATGTTTACTTAAAAACTGGACTTGCAACTCCCAATGTCAAAAAACTGTAGCAATGAATATAGAAAAAATACTGTATTCTATCAAGAAAAAGACCTTTGACTGTATGTTGGCCCTTAATATCTTATTATTATTTATTAGCATGTATTGTTGTATTTATACCAATATAAATAACAAATAGTGCATTTGCATATTTTATACATATATAACTTATATACCAACACAAAAAAGACCACATCCGTGATTTCTTCTGTTGATGTTAAGAAACGCAACAGAGCATTTATATATGATTGTATGATTACCTGTGATCATGTCTTGTCTTCCTTCCTGACTTCTAGCTTTCCTCCTGAAGTGTTGCCCAGGGAATAAATGGGCTCAGGAGAATGTTAAGAAACGCCAGATGCACTAAAACCTGACTTCTCATATGGAAGTGTGAGACTATGTCTACATCACATAATGTGTTGAGAAAGGTTTAAGACTGGTAGTCAGAGCTAACTCAAAGTGGAGGCTGGTGTTAATGCCCTATAATCCTCTGATTAGTAGGCATTAACACTTTTTCATATAAATGTCTTGACGTCAATTACTCCTAAACGGTTAACTCTATGTCAGCATTGGGTATATGAGGTTGAGGGTGATTTAAAACAGTAGAGGGCGTGTTGAGCCTTTTTCAACCTACAAAATGCAGATTTTCATAAATTTGATAAGAATGTCAATTTTAACACCAGCATCATCACAGTATAGTCATATAATTAGGTTAGAGCTCAAATAAACATGTTTTATGGTGGAGTACCTCTTTAGGTAAAACCCTGGGTTATGTTCCACCCACAGCAAACAATCATATCTGCAGAATCTGATGGGCGATCGTAAAAAGGGTATATCATGCTCCTAATCAAGTAAACATACCATTGTCTCAAATTTACCTTTTAAATTGAAAACTGTGGGTGAAACACAAAATAAAACCCATGTATTCAGACTACACAAACATAATGTGGGTATTACTTCAACTATTTTTCCTGTAGTACATCTGGGAAAATAACAGCCCATTTTACTACGTGAAAGTGTGAAAAAAAAAAAAAAATATGCCCTTGGTTTTCAAAAACAAATCCCAGTCCTGCAGATCACCTTATTCTCTGTCGCTTTTCATGTGGTGCGTGTTGAGACTGTCCTGAAAGACACTTCACTGTCTTCCTGCTTAAAGAGTTCAGTAACTTTTTTACGGAAGTTCTTTCCTACAATAACGTAGAGGATGGGGTTGAGAACACTGTTGAAGAAGCCTAAACAGGTGAAGATGTAGCGGCAAGTATGTAGGGGGTTTTCACTCGTCAGATCAGATCTTATGAAGATAAATACTAACTTAACCAGGTGGAATGGCAGCCAGCAGATCACAAAAGCCAAGAGAACTGCGAGCACCAGAGTGGTGGCCTTGTGCTCCATTTTCTGGTTTAACCACTCTTTTAAACGGCCATTCAGAGCTTGAATAATCTTGACAGTGCACCAGGAAATTATGCCAATGGGAATGATGAAGCTGAATATAGTCAGCGCCCCTTCATAAAGCCAGTCATATTTGACTTCCAAAGTCAACCCGCAAAAAGTTACATTATTCTGAAGTTCCAAGTTCCTGTATATGATCACAGGGACACTCAGGAGCAAGCACAACCCCCACACCAGCAGACAGGCCAGTTTGGCATACTTTGGCCTACGTATTACGCTATTGGACAGCGGATGCACCAGTGCCACATAGCGATCTATGCTAACCAGAACGAGGAAGTATATGCTGCCGTAGACGTTCATATTAATGCCCATGTGGACAACTTTGCACAGGAACAGACCAAAAATCCAATTGTGATTATTCAATATGTTGACAGCCCAGAAGGGCAAACAGGACACCAGAACAAGGTCAGCAGCAGCCAAGTTGCTCAAGTAGATCTCAGCCACGGTGCAGGCCTTCTTATGAAACCAGAAAACCACGAGGACAAACATGTTAAACACAATCCCCAGCGCGGTGATCAGCAGGATGAACACCGGCATCGCAGTTTTGGTCCATTCCAGGTCCGGAGGGGCACTGTGGAGAGACAAAGGACAAAGTTCCGTTAATCATTTACTCCTGAGTGACTCAGAATACTGTGAGATACTGTAATACTTTATCTACTAATACTGAATACTGAGTGAATGCCTGTCTACTGTGAAATGAAACACTGTAAAATAGTTATGTTGTCTGTTTATTGCAGTTACCAGAGAAAGTGATTGTAGATAAGGGTCATTATATAAAACAAACAATGGTGTGGCAGTTTGTGGTCTAGCCACTGATTCCAAGGTAGTTGTTTTGGGAAGTTATGAAAGACTATTGTAGTTGAAAGTTTTTGTAAAAAACAAACAAACAAACAAAAAAAGCCTTACATTTGAACAAATAACACTTTTTAATTTTGCATGTTAACTATTTTTTATTGTCTTATTTTCTAATTTACTTTATTTTTTCTTTATGAAACCAAAACAACCCAACATTTGTTTTATTAATAACACCTGGAATGCACAAAATATAAAATTTATTATTCTGTTGTATGTCCTTTATAAGCTGTTCAGTACTGATAAACAAATCATTAACTAATAATGTTCTAACATTCGTTAAATTATTCATTTGATACTAGATGTTCTGTCCTGACACAAATCTCAAAATAATGAAGACTTTGCAAATAAACAATGCCGAGGGCAGGATATTCTGCAGATGTGATATACTAACAAGACTACCATTGTGCTATAAATAAGGATAGGATCATTTTCGAAAAAAAGAAAGAAAGAAAAGAAGGAGAAATAATGGAATAACATCTGCATGGGGTTAAAGCGCTGAACATGAACTGCAATTCTGCTGCCTCTAATCTGTGTGGGAATATTTGTTGTATCAGATTCCTCTTGTTCTTGTAACTATTGTTGCATTTGTTAACTAACCCTTTTCTCTGTGTTGTCTTTAATACATAAGCCATACACATGCAATTTAGAATAACACAAACTTTGACAGTATTCACATCTGAAGGACTGCATTCATGATAATAAATGCAATTTAATTTAATACATGTATGTAATTGTATTTATGTATAAGCAAAACACAAATAAACTTTTAGCAATTTCTGTCTCACTAAAATCTCTCTGATATTTACTCCTTAAGGTGCCAAAGATATAACATTAAAAGCAGTTGCAGGAAAGGCTGCACTTGTATTCATATGCTACAGCTGAATTTGTCTAACTTTTTGACTTACTGACATTTAGCACTTAAACCCACCATTATAGTGTTAACCTGCTTTTAATTTAAATGCAGCAAGAAAATTTTTACAAAGTAGTACAAACAGCACAATGGTTTTAATATTGGTCCTAAAGATCTTATTGCCTATCTGTCTATCTGAGTGGAGCTAAAGCAGATCAAGATGTAGCACTAAACGTGTAGAGACAAATAAAATGACAGAGCTGCAGTTGTGGAACAGTGAAAATACTTGAGATTTTTTGAGCGGGTTGTCCCTCCCTATATGCCCTGTCTAGATTCTAGATTTCTGTTTGAGATAGCTTTTTTTAATAAAGGTCAGTACATTTTTATAAAACGTCTGCATACTGTCATTCACAGACAGTGTTATAAAGACCAAAACATTACTGAGGTTGAACAATGTTTAAGTTGTTCGTGGGTCTTGTTAACTACAATGAATAATGGTAAAACATAGAAAAGTAATATACTTGCATACCTTGTAGTCACAAGGGTCATTCCTCCTTCCGTTGTTGAATTCATATCTATAAAATGTCCAAATACACACTGTTCCACACCTCTGCTACTGTATTCTGTTTGCCTCTGACTCTGACTCGCTCTCTTAAAGGAGAAAGGAAAATGATGTCAGAAGAATCCTTGGAACCACTACTTGGCATGCGATATCACCCCCTCCCCCCCTTCATATTCCCCATTCTGGTTTTTTCCATTTTCTATCAGCATTGTTTACAAAGCATTTTAGTCTGTTTGCAGAAAGGTTTCTGTTTACAGAATTCTTTTTCTTTTCTCTTTTTTACATCAGAGATAATTTAAATGAGATTGTTTTTCAATATACTTGAACTAGGTGTTAAATGTTCTACACAAACTTGGGTGGTACTTTTTCTGTTGCTTTATAAATACTAGTGAAAATTCCATAGAAATACACAAGAAATATTTACAAGCTGGTCATGAGAACATGGGCTTCTGTGTTTGAGTGAACCAAATAACAGCGGGTTATATGTTTGCTTTTATCTTTTTCAGACACTGAAACGCCTCACTCTCCAGCTCCAGGCAGATATAAATTCCTTTTCAGGCATTTACAGAAGAGTCCTTAGTAGTGTATGAGGACTATGGACTGTCTTGTGCTGTGTTTCATGTCACTGTCATCAGCCAGAACTCTTGTTGTGAAAGGTAAAACTTCTAAAAAATAAATGAGAGGGATGAAAAGAGAAGGGTTTTTAAGGTTCACAAAGTTAAATTTAATACTTTTTAAGACTACATAGAATGCAATTTAATACACGTTTTACAATCATACTGGCCAAAGTATCATGGTAAACACGTTCATAGCTATCAAGCAATAGTGAGTATTTGCAATAGCTCTAATGGTGCTCACTGAAACTACAAAAAAGGATAGAAAAAACAACACAAGTTAGAAAGATTTTTGCCCTGCACAGCATAAACGCAGCACAAGACTTTTATAAAATACACTTCCAGGGAATGAAAGGCGTGGCAAGCTAGGGAAATGGATGATCAGAACAATGCATTGCAGTAATTAACTATGGTTGTTAATATAATTAGATTTAGATAATAAACCGCTGGAAATGGATCTCAAGTTGGAACATAGACCAAATGGCTGACCCATATTAGCACATATGGATGTAGTCTCTGTAATGTCACCCACAGGTTTGTAAAAAGCCATTGTAAAGCTGAGAGTGGTTGGCTATGGCCATCGCCATTTTGGCAGTGCCTGACTCCATTAGCACCAGGGTAATCCAAAAATAGGGAAAGACGTGGAGTGTGGATGGAGCTTAGGTGGGCCAAATGAAGCCTGGTTGCTGAAACCAGCCACCGGAGATGGCACCCACTCGTCACTCAAAGTGGGCACATCCTTAATTATGTATAATTTTAAGCCATAATATAATTTAGATGGGTAAATTAAATACAATTTCATCCCACATAGAGTTGTCATTAACATGGAATTTAGCTTTATAAACTAAAACCAGGCTGTAAACAACAACAACATGTTTTTTTTCTGGTGTGAAGTTAGGTTGCTGTGGGTGGTTATGAACATTGACTTACTTTTGCAGCCTTAAGTAGCTGTTCAAGGAACTGCAGTGTTTGCGGATTGGCTTCATTGCTGATGTATGGAGTTTACAATGGAAATGGCCATGGAAAAAGAGTAGTGTTCTTATTTTGATTAAAATTTACATTGTTGCTAGCAGATTTCATCAGCTGTACTGTAGTAGCAATGTGTTTAATTGTAGTTAATTTGACATTCCTTGCTGTTTCATTAGTATTTAATCACCTGAAAATAAGAATTGTTGTATTTTCTTTGTCTTTATGATCACCGGCCACCCAAGTTGAGGCAAACT